CAAACACATTTTGAGGTTGAATTCCCTATAGTTACTCTTTGGGTTGAATCACGATGTCTTTGCCCATTTTGTAACATGCGCAGTGACGCGCTGTCTAAATAATGTCATAATACTTGACTCTAGAATTTATTGTAATTAGAATCAATACATTTGAGACCTTAAAATTTATTAATAACTCATCTAAGTTTCATCCTAGAGAGTTTGGAAGGGAAATCTTGGCTTGCAACAGGACACGCTCAGACATCGCATGCCTGACAACGAACGAAAGAGGCATGGCAAGAAATAGCTGTGAAGTGTGAAGCTATACTGCAATGGAAGATGTTGTATAAAAACACGGCAGCAATGGGCAAAAGTTTGTTATCTATATAATAAATGACGCAATCGAGGGTGTCATTGGAATGCTGGCGCTCCCCTTGGAACTCGACGGAGTCAAGGAATCATCAGTTGAGCGGCGTGCACGTCACTTGCCGTGTAGCATAGCAGCCGCGCAATGCTGTCGACAGAAACCGACGCGCGTTCCTACTGTGTACCTAGCTTGTAACCTGTTAATTTGATATTGAGTTCCATTGTAACAGTGAATTTTCTTTGATGTACTTTGTTTTGCACTTAGAAACTGACTGAGACCTCTGAGTTTGTTTCGGCATTTCTTCTCAGAGTAGTTAGTTGGCAATACCGGCTCCACCAGTAGCTTAATTGAAGTAAAAGTGCAATGTACAGAAATAAATAATGATTTCATACCGGAGACTATATTATTTTACTGCTACCTACGCTAAGCTAAACTTCCTAGCTTAGAACATAATAAGAAGTTTTGCTAAATAATTCTGGGTTCGACAGAACAGACATGAAAGTACTTAGGTATAATAAATACGGTAGGTAGTAATGCGTTCAAATAAACGAAGAGTTTTGAATATTTTGTAACTAAATAAAGGCAATACGCGCAAATATTGTAGCTTTTAGATTTGACAGATAAAAACAAGGCTGTAGGCTAGGCTGTAAGCCACGTCGACGCTGTTTTTTGTTCGAGAATACCAAAATGTATGTAGAATTGTCAATTTGCTCGCCTTTAAATAGTTCCAACTCACGGCCGTCACAGCCTTGAGCGCTAGTGTACCGTATGTCAGCTTAGTGAATACCAAACGATAATTTCGTCGCTGTGGCAACGCTGCAGGCAACGCTGTATCCTTAGAGAATAGCACTGCAGGTGTCCATGGGCGACGCCGATTGCTTACCATCAGGTGATCCGTCGGCTCGTTTACGAATTATGCCATAAAAAAAAATTAAAGTATGGGAGAACCACGGCAATAATACCATACAGTACTCCAACTTCATAGAAACTGACGAAACGCGAGCTATACCTACGCGCCTCGATGTTAGGGTGCGCTAGGGGCGCAGACAGTCTGACGGCTGTACCGCAGTCACGAACGAACGGTGTGATGTTTTGTATTACCAGCTAGCTTTTACCCCCGCGGCTTCGCTCGCGTCACAAAAGGATAAAAAGCCAATGTGACATATACCAATACACACAGCGCCATCTATACCAATACTTTTGTTTTCCCTCGGGCATATCAAATTTTTCCGGGATAAAATGTACCCTATTATTTAATCCAGACATCTAACTTTATGTCTGCAAGAATTCAAAGCAATCGGTTTAGTAGTTATGGCGTGAAAGCGGAACAAACAAACAAACTCACTTTCCGATTTATAATATTAGTAAGGATAGCC